GGCAATCTTCTTATAGCCTAGGCCGTCTTTATGTAGAGCAACAATATTTTTTTTCAGATCCTCAGAGTTCTTTGCCATGAGGTGCCATGTTGAACTTCAAGTGACCAGTATGAGAGAGTGAGAGCGATAACACCAAATTTAACACACCTGAGTCCTAGTAACACTAACCTGTCACATGACACCGAGGAGGAAAAATGGCTAATTGGGCCCAATTTGGACATTTTCACTTAGGGGTGTACTCACTTTTGTTGCCAGCGGTTTATACATTAATGGCAGTGTGTTGAGTTATTTTGAGGGACAGCAAATTTACACTGTTATACAAGCTGTATACTCACTACTTTACATTGTAGCAAAGTGTCATTTCTTCAGTGTTGTCACATGAAAAGATATAATAAAATATTTACAAAAATGTGAGGGGTGTACTCACTTCTGTGAGATAGTGTATACCTTTTTTCATCAGCAGTATATAGCAGTTTTGTTATTTCTATTAGTGTCCAGCTGAGCACTGGTAAAAGCTTGTGGGAGGAGTTTTCATTCTCCTCTGACTGTGAGATACTGTATATTGTACATTTAAATTAATCTGCCACAACACAAGTTTCTTGTGTGTAAAGCTACAGGTAGAAACAGTTACACTAGCTAACAGCTGTGTAGTTCTAGAACAGCCTGAGAGTTGGGAAAGTGGTCACTGGATTCTTAAAATGGGTATTTTATTTTCCAAAAAGATTCCTTTTAAGTTTTACTTACTTCGCTCATAGAAGGAAACTTGAGAGGGGCTGATACTTTCAGCTGTCCGTTAACATATATGTACACATCGCTTCGCCCAAAAAATCCTAAAGACCTTTTTCCTGGTATGTGGACAATCGTGACACTGTGCTGTTGAGAGAAAACACAAAACACATTATAATGTACAAAAGACAGTGCAAAGAGCAGAGTGCTATATGCAAAGTGCCACACTCATTGCAGCTAAGCAGAATTCATCCTGGCTTGACCTCAGTAAAGTGAAATCTAATTTATAATGGTTACTGCAATTTTCAGTTCGTGTTTTCCTACTTACATTGTTTTTTAATACATGAGCACGTTATTATATTTTTAACTTGCATTCTCTCTACCTTCCCTGACTGAGCAAAACCCTTAATTTGTTTTATATGCTCCCCCTCCCATGCGCTGCAGCACCCAGAGGGGGTGGGGGTTACAGTAGCAGAGGCAGTGCTGTCAATCCAGAAAACATTGAGCAGGGCTCAATATAACCGGGTGCCTACTGACAGTATGACAATACTGATATCCAACCAAGCCATCTCTCATTCAAATGTAGCGCAAGCAGATACAGTCTAAGGGCCAGTTCATACTACATGTGTTTCAGATGCTTTTTTTTCTGCATCCAAAATGCACAGAAAGTACATTATATGGTTGTCAATGCCATAGTTCACATCAGTGCTTGCAGTTCCAGTAGGTCCCGGTTGCAGAAAAAAAAGTAGAACATGCTGCATTTTTTTCTGCACAGAACTGTACTGGAACGCAGTAAAATGCACAAAATTGCACCGGAACGCACTAAAAACGCTCTGGAACGCACATGTCCCTATTTAAATTGAAGAAAAAGAGAAGGGAAAAATTTACTGGAATGCATAAAAAAACGCAGTGGACTGTGTCAAAAATGCATCAAAACTGAACTGGAACAAAAACGCATCCAGAACACATCTGAACTGCCTTTCTATAGTGTGAACCGGCCCTAAGGGCTAGTTCACACAGGATGCCGTTCAGTGCATTTTGTTCCTGCATCAAAAATGCATGCAGAGTGTTTTCCATGTAATCCAATGGCATTAGTTCACACCAGTGCAGTTCTAGTTAGCTTCCGTTGCAGAGAAAAAAAAAAGTAGAGCATGCTGCATTTTTTCTACACAGAACTGTACTGGAACATAGCAAACTGCATCAAAACTGCAGAGGAACGGGGTGTGGTGTGAACTGTAAGGAAAAACGTATCCAGGATGCACCCGGAGTGCATTTTTGTGGCGCGAACTGGCCCTAAAAGAGGGTGGCAACACTGCTGTGAATTCAGGAGCAGAGCAGCATCGTTCTCACCCCATTACAGGAATCTGCATTAGTTGGACTTCATTGGTAAGCGCAACAAGTATTTGTGGGACTTTACAGTGGGAAAAAGAGAAAACTGCAGATTTTTGTTAATAGTGGAACATAGTTTTACCTTACCAATTTGGTTAGACTATTATATTTTGAGTTATTTCTGCAGTGCTAACCTAAGCATAATCTAATAAGACTTGAAACATGTTTTACAAGCTTAGTCTTAAATAAATATATTATTGTATTAACTATAGAGATGTACTGATTAGCTACTAAAAGGAGCTCACTGAGTCTCTGTCCAAATATGTTGTCTCTCATTTAACAACTGTTGAGATAAGATATCAGCCACATTGGGGATGCGTTATGAGTCGGACGACTTATGCCTCGGACACACGAAGATAATATTGGACGAATGATTGTCTGTTTTTTGGGGGATTTTTTTGCATGCTAGTCTCCATATCGAAAATTAAAAGGTTACTCAACTTACAAAAATTCTCGTATGACAGAGTAGAATTTCATAAGTGATGTAATGTATTCTATTGTATTTTCAAGCGAAAACTGTACTGATTGAACGAACATAATACGATCTGGTATCTTACAAGAAAGATTTTCATGTTTGTCCCTTGAGATAATTTTGGATGAACTGTCGTGACCGGCTGTCGAAAGCGGTGTACTAACGATCAGATTATTGTACAACTGCTTAGAAAGAGGTATTTTTTTGTTTTTCTGATCATGTCTACAAGGCTTAAGGCTGGCCATACATTATACAATTTACCTATTCAATTTCCTTCAGAGTTACCTTCAACTATATAGTGCAAGGATCAGATGCAAGTTGAATTGTTTAGGTTTGACCTCAGATTATACAGTTTTGGTAAATCTAAAGGAAAATTGTATAATGTATGGCCAGCCAGCTTTATAGGCTTGTAATTTAAGAAGGAGCATGAAGTACATCAATTATGTAGCATTACTAAGCAGGATATAGAATCTGTATATATAAAGAGGAAATATGACTATCCCATTCTATGTACATATATAACTTCCAATGACACACAAAAACAAGGTTTTTAAAATGCACTAATAAGATTATTTGTATCAAGCTAATCTTTTTTTATTTTACATGTATACCTAAAAAAATACTTTGAAAAGACTATATATTCTGTTAACACTAATCAATCTGTAATGTAGGCTCTTTTTTGATCTGTATCTACATCTTCCTTTTTGTACAGATGTGGAGTAAACTGCACTTACCCACAAAGAATCACAGAAGCAGTGATCAGGCAATATAACAGTAGTGTATTCCTTTTTAGTGCATACTGCAACAACCAGAAATCCAGAAGATGTGATAAAGGCTTCAAACCCCATGCCACTGCTGGTAAAGAAGCTGAAATCAAAGAAATAATTTAATGAATGAGAGACTAGCTGTAGAGAAAAATCTTATTTCAATTATTCATCCGCTGAATTCAGAAATCAAAACCACCACACTTCAGTGTCACTTTGTAACACTGAAGATCGCTAGTCAAATGATGCTCAGAGACAATGTCATAACTATCATGACATGACAGGAAAACAAAGTCTTCAACCACAGCTTCATTATCTATGAGCAAAATTTATGTCAGCTACTATAGCACATTATAATAAATATGTTAGAGTACATGTACAGGAAAAACTTTCTGTATCCAAAACTAGAGAGATTCCCCACCTTTTTTTTGTCCTGGTAGCCACTGTCACCAAGACAAGAAATAAATGAAAATTCTAAAATATTGGACTTGTAATGAAAGCAAGAGGTGGGGAAATCGTCCAACAGGGACAAATGTTCCAATGACAGTTGTCTAAGGTGAGATTCCCGTAACTTTAGGAAGATTTCCTCTCACTTCCAGTCTACATCCCTAGCAGGACACAGACAGCAAAAAAACGAATAGGGGATTTAAACACACAGTACTCTAAATCTAAAAAACAAAATGTTTTGGCTATGCAAACTTACAGTAGCTTAGAGCGACACAATAATAAAGCCAGTATGCAGATACCCTTTAAAATGGAACTACACTCTCTAATCCTTTACAGCCAAATCAAGTGCCATCTTAGTCTCTAGATCTGTAAAGGCCAGGGTGCGGCCATTTGAAAGCTTGAAGGTTCAGCTGAGAGTTTAGTTTCACTTTTAATGTTACATTTTAGGGTTGCTGATTGATAAACATTTTAAGTATAGCTAAACAATTTATAAGCATATTAGCCTCAACTGTATCATTTGTCTACTTGTTTTAAAGGGTCATTCTACCCAAAACTGATATTTCAAAATTGATATCATCTCTGCATTTGAACTCCAAGAAGTGCACACCTAATGCGGCCCTTGTGTAATATTTCTACTCTACTTGATGTTTGCTACAGGAGGAGCTGCAGCAGATAAAAGTCAGTGGAAAAGCCCACAACTTGAAGTCACAAACAATAACAAGGAGACTTCACTTTTTAGTGTACATAAAATATCAAAGTAGTCAGTATCTGACTTCAGCATTTAACTAAGATATCACTTTTGGGGGATGAACCTTTGAGTCAAGAATAAGAAGGCTATATTGGATCATTCTTTTAAAATGTATCAACAAGTTCAAGGACTTGTGACCTTCTAAGTGACACTAATATTTTATATTGTTAATGTTAGTTAAATGCACTCTACATCTTAGAATATATTCTGACAATTCTCTCATATGCAAGGCCCTTTTTACCTACTCTGTCCCAGTCTGCTTTATTTCTAACGGTTATTTTTTTACAAAAATTAAAAGAAATAAGACCATGTAACATTTGCCTTAGAAAGTAATGAAAAGTTTAGACTGACTTTGTGTTTATATTGTTTAGATACACTACCTATATAGCTGTTTTCTTTTCATGCCACTGCTGGAAATTCCAATGGTGGACTGGTCTTGGTCAAGACAGAACCAGGCATTAAATGTGAAAGCGGAGCCAGGCCATTTCTGAATGGTGGGTATAGCAATTCCTGATGAGCTATGGGACAAATTAAAGTACTGCAAGGCACTCTCCAGTCCCTGTTTACGGGCAATAGTGAGCATGGCTCGGGTCACAGGAACAACATAAGGGTGGCTGTTTTTGGGTTCATTTGTCCTCAGCATAGCAATAAGATGAAATAATTCCTCCGAGCTCATTGACTGGCTGCCCAATGACCCCAAAAGACTGATTAAGTTTTCCGCACAGATTCGGTGCAAGGAATAGTGAGCAGTGAGTGTCTCGATAATCCGAATGACCATGCTGGCATTGACACACATAGTCCGACTCTGCTTATTTATACAGCAAATCCTTTTTAACCAGTCTGAGATGAAGTTCTGTAGATCATGAGACACAATTTCTGGTAGCCACTGTATAAGAAGGAGCAAAGGCTGGACATTACTGATGCCATAAATCCCAACTGAAGCATGTTCGCCTTCCACAGCCTGAAGATGGGAGAAAGAACAAAAAAAGTCAGCAGAGCGGATGATTAATAAACTAACACAGTATAGACCTAACATCATCTGTCTGAAGACGACATGGAAGAGGAAGACCGTAGCAGGCATTTTTAACCTGTGTTACAAGATGCCTCTTGTATTAAATTCAGTATTTAATTTGCTTGAGCCAAATGGAATTCTTCAGTTTCTACTACTTAATAAATACATACTAATACACAAGTGGAATACAGAGATGGAAGTGGTTTTTAATAGCCAACAGATTTGAATTTTTGTCCATGCAGTCCTGAGATTTATGCAGTTCTTCCACAAAGCATAGTCCTGCCTGGCAGGGGTGGGGACCTAGTTTTTCAAGTCACCTGATCTTTCCTGCTGAAATTTCTATTTCACTTACAGGTCTCTTCACTCTGCAGAATGGGACTGGGCAGTGAAAGAAGCATTACACTGATAAGCTCATCTGTCACTCTGCTCTCTCCTCCTAGCATCATGCACAACACAGCTGACTGGATCTTTATGCTGCTTCTACCACCCCTTCTCAGAGCTCTGCTGTACAGTAAATAGCAAGCAGAAGATGCCAATTCAAATTCAGTTACTTACACTGCTTGAATTTACTAAAAAAAAACTGATGCATTATAAGTGCTACAGTTTATTTCCACAGTTCAAAAACTATAAAAAAACTATAATATATTGGAGAGTTAACATGCTTCAATTTGACACAAAAGCAGTATTAGAAGTAGGTCACAAACACAGAGGGGTGGGACCTGTATCCCTTAATGAACTCCAAGAAATGGATTTTATGCCAAGTACAAAAATTAGGATATTTGACTTACCAGTAAAATATCTTTTTTGGGGTACATTACGGGATGCACGATCATTAGACATTACACTGAGTATGCAGATACCTTCAGGTATTTATATAAACCAAGTATTTGCACTAAAAAAAGATTTTCCCTTTTCTATCCTAATTATTAATTGCCAGCTGCTGGATAATATTATCCCTCAGATAATTACTATATATTCATATAAACATACAGCGCTCCCTTACACCATGATACACTCAATAATTGATAAGATAATTTATATCACATACATAAAAAAATACTATATGAACAAACTGTTTCCAAAGCTAAATGTGATCAAATCACTAATATTTGTATGGAACAAAGTGATACGCCAATAGTGCAAGGTCCACACACTTCATAAACATACAGAAAATACAGCACTGTTCATCAAAACAGTTCATCTTCAAAAGACCAAACACTTAATCCTCAGTGACGAAACACTTAATCCTCAGTGATATATGTGCAGTCCCATTCACATTACAATCCACCTGCGTGCCATTTAGAGCTTATAATGCAGCTCACTCACCAGTATCATATGACCCCTTGTCTCCCTTCATTTGAATCCTGTGACGAGAGGCGTAGATCAGGCTGAACTGTCGCTAACCCCCAGAGACACCACAATGTCCTCTGCATATGCTTAAAGGGGGGAAGCCTTGCCCTGGAGACAAACCAGTCCAGCTTGATGTTGAATCTGGATGCCAGAAAATTTGGAGTCCTCCATCTGTGGTAAAAGGCTTGAAATACCTCCAGATGGACAGTCCATTCCCCCAGATCCAGATGCTCATGACTGAGATAGCTGGTCTGGCCAATTTTCCATTCCTGGGATGTGGACAGCAGACTGGGCTGAAACGTGCAGTTCTGCCCAAGAGAGGATCAAGACTGAATAACATTTTTCTGAGTCACCAAGAAATGGTGATCAAGATGCTGGTTCCCCTTTATTGGGGTCATCAGAATAACAATAAAAAAAGGCAGGAATGCACCAATACCGATTTGGTTATCAGTCCTGATACCAAGTGTTTTCATGAGTCCCGATTATGCTTCATAGTCTACGAACATGGGACTGTGTTAGATATTCGTGTAACTTAATGTCACCTTTTCTACCCTTTTGCCGATCACTCACAACCCTCTCTTCCCTCCTGGATTGGAACATCCCCCCTATTTCTCTTGGTGGACCTCTTATGTCTTTCTTAATGTACACAACTTCCTAACCACTCGTTCGTTTCCATCCTGGGAGGTTCTCCGGGAGTCACGGGGGGCTCCATCGCAGGAACATTACCCCTATCTGCAATTACGACATTGGATTATGTCCCTGTGTCGTGCTTTTCACATATCCTTACCGCAAAACGTTCTTTTTGAATACACCTGTCAACATTCCCCTGGTCTCATTTCCACTCTCTATGCCTCCCTTAACAGTAGGTTTTCCCTAGCACCTCTACCCTATGTGATTCATTGGTAGCAAGATCTTGGTTCCCCTACTGAGGCTGAGGACTGGAACAAGGCCTGGGAGATGATAGCGAAATGTTCTTTCAATATTGTTACTCTTGAGGCTGCCTACAAAGTTCTCCTGCGGTGATACTGGTCCCAACTCGAACTGCTCACTTCTACCCAAGTGGTGGTAATAGGTGTTTTAGGAACTGTGGTCTGCATGGGGATGTCATGCATATTTGCTGGTCATGCGCACAGTTGATAGGCTTCTGGTTTAGGGTTTTTTGGCTTGCCGCAAATGTTGTTCCATGTTACGGTCCGTGAGAGAGCAAAATTGGTCCTCCTACATAGTCCTATTTTGGGTCTTTCCACGTCCCACCAGAATTTGGCATCCTACCTATTTCAGCCAAACGTACTATAGCTGAAGCTTGGAAGACCTATTTGGTTGCTTTCCAGGGGGTGAAGAACCGGATGAATGCCATGATGATTAATGAAAAGATGTCCAGCATTCTCCAGGATTCCCATTCGAGATTCCTTAAGGTTTGGGAACCTTCGATAAATTATTCCTTTCCATCCTTACCTCCCACTAGTTATGGCCTCCTTTAGTCATTGCCCGTGCTGGCCCTGGATTTGTGATTTATTTATTTATTTGTCCTGATGTTTTATTCCTTCTTTGTTTCTCTCCAGTTTCCTATGGCTCTTTTTCTTTTCTTTCGTTTTAGGTCTCTCTTTTATTTTTTCAGAGTTGATACTTCTTGGTAGTGGTTTTTGCTTTAGAAAGGACAACGAAATGCTGTTAATATTGTTTGGTTTGATTTTTCTGCCATTCCCGTTTGGTGCTGGTTGGCATTGTGCTGACTGGTTAATATACTCTACTGATTTGTATCTGATTTTGTATGTTTTTGCTCAGCTCTGCCACTGCATGGGTGTACCATGAGACTGTGACATTGCTCAAAAACTCTTTCTAATAAAAATTATGAAAGAAAAGAAACTTTCACCAGCCTGTAACAAACTCGGAAGTCACCCTTATCCAAGTTGGTGCTAAATAAATGAAGGACGCTAATAAGAAGCCATTTTATGGTGCAAGAACAGGTCCATAATTGTAGAAATGAGCTTCTCTAGTCTTCAGGAGCCATTTAAAGTCCACTGTACCCTTAAAAATACCTTAAAGGATAAGTTCACCTTCAAACTTGTTAAAATGCTCCTGATACTTTGCGGTGCAATTTGCATCAATACAAAATGTCTGTCAAAATACTGTCATTGATGCAAGGAGAATCAAAAGTTGTCTAGCCCCTACTGTCATCCTGCACTGAGATGAGAGAAAGCCACAAGGATTTCAAATCCCCAGGTTTTCCTTTGTGTGACAGAATGAGTTTGCGCAGGCAGGTTTCCCCCCCCCACCATTCCTGTTCAAATAGCATGCTATTCTTTGTGGTGCAATTTGCATCCATACATTTTGTATTGACACAAATCGCACCACAAAGTATTGGTTCTTGGTATCAGCCTGGTCATGGTTGAGGTGAAAGGCCAAAACAATTTAGAAAGAAAGAAGGCTCTGAGTTTACAACTTTGTCCAATTCAATGCTATGACTTTTACCTGAATGCCCTCCATCTTGATCCTTTGGAGCAGACGTGAAAGGTGTTAGAGGAACAGAGGAAAGTTGTAGATCAGGTTGTACTGATAACATGAAGCCACAACAGCATCCACTGCTTTTTGCTATATTCACATTTGCCAGCTAAGAATCAGGTGCTTGCCCAGCTCGTTACAGACCAATGTGTGAATGAAACAATGGATGACGACACTCCTAGAATACTTGTAGCTTTTTTATTCATTTGAATAGCATGGCACTTCCAAAACACACCAGGAATAGAGATCCCTTGCGTGTTTTACATACAGAGGTGCAAGGTCATAAGAGATCTCTCCAATTAAGCATTTGTGTGCATGATAAAAAGAAGAGATCTGTATTCCTGAGAGTTGAATTCTGTAAATGCCAAAAAAAAAGAAAGCTACAAGGATTTTTGAAGTGTCATCATCCATTGTTTCATTCACGCACTACTAGTGGATCCTTAAATCTGGAGATGAGACTGAGCAGCTTGGTGTCAATATTGGAGGCCAGGAGATCCACATCCAGGGTCCCCCACCTGTGACACAGGTCCTAAAAGATCTCCTGGTGAAGAGACCATTACAGTGTGTCTTGGCATTGCTAGTTTGCCTGCCAATTATACACAGATTTTATTTATTTTCTTTTTTTTTTTTACAGATTCTCTTGCTGCAGCAAGACTTCTGGTTCCTCAATGATGGCAATGTTTGCCACTGCTGTGGCATTGTCCAAAGGAATCCAGGTTGGATGGCCCTCCAGTTGAGAGGTTCAGAACTGCAGGGACAACCAAATAGCTTGGAGCTCCAGTTGGTTGTCATCTTTCAAAATTATCGTCAAAGATAACGGAAGGAGGGATTATCTTTACTCTCTGAGCCACCAGACCAGAGATAACTGGGCTTGGGATGTAGTCCTATTGATTTGTCCAGCGACTGCACCTTCTTCTCTCATGCAGAATCACAGTGTGAAACAGCTCCTGGACTGCAGATTCCGGGTCTGGGAATGTAGAGTTAGAAGTTCCTTTGATGGAAGAAAAACTCTGGCCTGAGCTGTGTCTACAATAAGACCCAGATGATTTAGATTCAGTGCTGAATTTCGAAAGGTTCAAGATTCAACTGAAGGTCTGGACAATACACAGCATACTGTTGGTCAGTATTTGAGTCTATCTTTCTCTCAGTAGGCGGTAAACCAGGTAACCCACTTTGGTGAACACTGGACAGGCCAAAAGGCTACAAATTGGTAGTGTTGAGTGCTCACCACAAATTGAAGGTAGTGTTGGCGCGCTGGAAAAATCAGGACATGAAAGTAAAAAGCATCCTTGATGTTCGCAGAGGCTGGAAAGTCTCCCTGAGAGGGGGAAGCTATGACACACCTGCAAAACTTTGGGGATCAAATGAAGAGATATAGGGCCATCAGGTCTAAGATTGGGTAAATGCCCCTTTTTGGTTTTGAAACATTGAAATAGTTGGAATAAAACCCTTGAAATCTTTTCACAACTGAAACAATGCAAATGACTTTCTGATTTAAATGGAGGTCTGCTAGCCAGTGCAGAGCCACAGGCAGGTATAGCAACATGAAGTGTGGAGGAGGTAGAGAGCAAAATTCTATTTTGTAGCACCTGGACACCACAACTTTTACCCATACATCCAGGATGTTTGCTAATCAGGTGTCCACAGAGGCTAAAAGACAACCTCCATCAACCATCCCCTAATGCTGCAGATGATGTGTTTATAATTCTTTCCGTGGAATCAACAAAAAAAAAAAAAAAAACAGGAAAATGGTAGACATTAATAGTTTAAGTAATAGCTTTAAATTGTGAGACATTGGGGAGTCTCAAAGACTCTTACAGCAGTCTGGGAAATAGAGGTTGCACTAAGGAGAACTAATACATTACATAATGGACTGGAAAGTACAAGTAGCATTCAACGCACGAAGGTCATGCTCCAGATTATCTAAACCCTGTCCTTGGGCCTACTCACAGAAGTCTTCAGAGACTGTGTCACACCAGAGGCTGTGCCACAGCTCTGGACTTGTAAAGCACTTTGCAGCTAACACAGTATGAGGTGTGGGAAAGGTCACTATCAGATCGCAGTGCCCAAAAGTCACATTATAGGAAGGTACAGCCATATTCTGTTTGGCAGGGTAGGAGTAGGGCCATCAAGTCATTGCTGGGGATTATCTGATCTGGATTGCTTCAAAGGAGCTCAGTAGCTTTTCAAACAAATCTTGAATGAAATAAAAAGGTCTGGATAGAAGAAAAAAAGACTAGTAAAATTGGTAAAACCTTTCTAAAAAGGCAAGACTTCCATTCTCTTAGGACACTAATAAAAAATGAAGCATGATGGTAGTTGAAGGGGTTATACCTGTCCTGCCAATGGCTTTTTGCTTTCTAGTGTCCAATTTCTCCTGAGGGTGGCAGCATAAACCTATTGTGTATGAAATACTGCTGATCCTGTGTCTCTTTACAAACAATAGAGAATAATATTTTCTATATTTCCTTTATTTGTTGCAAAAAGCACTTGCTTAACAAAAAAACATATCCAAGAAAGAAAAAAAAAATAATTTACCATGTTAAGAAGCTCTTCAAGTAACATTCGAGATGGCTGTCCAAGAGATTTCAGCACCTCAAGCAAATGAATGTAACCAATTCTTTCCTTAAATACTTCCTAAAACAAAAAGCATCCAATAAAACAAAAAATACACACTTTGTAGGAAAATACATACAGTATGTATGTTAGAGTATTAATACGTACTGTAAGTTAAACTATTTTTTTGTTTCTGATAGAGTGTTGGAACCTCTTTGAGGTTTACTGTTGCAGATTTTCTCTCATTTCCTGTCTGGTAAAATGGTTGTCAGCAGGACAGGAGGTGATGGTAAACCTCTCTAATGGAACACTGAATAGCAGTAAAAATCTACCATGGTTCTAATCTTTTACCACTCTAACCAAAATTAGAAAAAGTTTTTTTTTTTTTGTTTCAAATATTCTTTAATATTCTCTAAGTATTCCTCTCCAACTTTCAAACGCTTTGAGTTATTATTCTAACAGGTGCAAGGGTGACATCATATACCCTCAATCAGTGCTGAACATGGTGACCAGAATGATAAAGGCGAGTTTCACTAGGGACTTGCAAATTGAAAAAAAATAATCACACTTTTGAAATCTTTGTGTATTTAACCCCTTAATGCCTGAAGGTAGACCAAATCCTGAATGGCTGAATGCAGTTTTGCAGCTTTGGCATGTGTTCATGAAACTGTTAATATTGAACTACTTAGAATATTCAGGTAAATTATACCTTGTTTTTTCCAGATAAATTGGACCTTCATTTGGTAGTAAATGTGAATAAATATCTCCTTTGTTTTTTAATTATCAAAAGGAGAACAGGCCCAGATTAGTAAAAAAAACATTTTTTAAACTTTAGTTATATATTACCAAAATCCAAGGATAATAAATAAATTCTCTGCTCCTGACGTTCACGGTGATACCGTATGTGCGTGTGTGTATTATTTGCTGTCTGTAACCAGAATAGGGCCAAGAAATAATAGTTTGCATGTTGCTTGTTTTTAAAATCCAAACTCTTAAACATACTGACCCTGCCAATAACATGGAAAAAACCCTAATCTAGCTATGTTATCTTTCTTTCTTTAATATGGTCAAGAATAATACATAGCTGGGGATTCTAGTTCTCCCTGCTCTTATCTCAATAACACACTAGAACTCTCAATAAACACAAGAAAAATCATTGCCTATTTAATAGTATAAAACATAAAAATGCGGAGCTACTTATAGCCAAAAAAATGATAAATTAGTGCAAACACATAAAGTGAATAAAAAGTCCACACATAAGAAGTCCACATATGTGAAGGAAATATGAAACAGAATAAGCCCCTTTAAAGGGATGTCAACGTTGTCATAAATACTTCCAATCTGGTCAAGAAGATAAAGGGAATCCACCATCACCAACAGCCGAAAAATTCTGCATCTTACCAGATAAACTTGACCCCCAGTTAAGGTTGGGTCAAATTGCTCAATATAGAATCCAAACATATTTTGAGTCCATCTTTCCTGGCTAAGCAGCGTTTTCCTCCCCTCTCTGGACCCAGGCAATTTTGGAGCTGGTTGATTGCCGTGTTTAACAGGTTTTTTTTCTCTGTTCAATCTATGAAGTTAAAGTTTGGAGCTCTACCAGTGTGCGGATCATAGCCAATTTTTTAAATCATCCAGCGGGTGCTTCTGTTCATCTACTATTGGGGGCCAGTTTGATCCTTTGACATTATTAAGCGTTCAGGTCTGTGGCATACGTGTAGATTCTATATTGCGCAATTTTACCCAACCTTAACCGAGGGTCAAGTTTATCTGGTAAGAGGCAGAATTTTTTGGGTGTTGTTGATGGTGGATTCCCTTCATCTTCTTGACCAGATTTGAAGTATTTATGACAACGTTGACGTCCCTTAAAGGGGCTTATTCTGTTTCATATTTCCTTCACATATGTGGACTTCTCATGTGTGGACTTTTTATTCACTTTATTTGTTTGCACTAATTTATTTTTTTTTTTGGTTATATGTAGCGCCGCATTTTTATGTTTTATTATTTGATATATTGATGCCTGCAATATTAAGGTGGCTGCTTATTTTTTTATTGATTGCCTTACTATCAGGGGGTTTCATATATATTATAGCGCAGGATACTTTTCTATTTAAAAGTATGCTTCCATTCGTATTCACTTCAAGTGCTCCTTGCTGGTCATTTTGAAGTGCTGAGTTCTGTTCTATAAATACGCACAGGCACAACAGTAACCTAACCAAGATGGGAAACCAAGAAACACTGATAAAGTTGTAAAAAAATAGAACTTGTAGCAAAGCGTACATAATGTTACATTTTTTACCTTTGCCGCAGGAGATTTGTGTTTCACAGCTGTAAGTGCTTTAATTGTTGAGACACACAAACAGTCTAACTGTTCCTGAAACACCTAAAACGGCAGAAAAACAGAAATTACTGAACACAAGATCATTTATAGTGAGGCTTTTGGACCTTTCAGCTGGAATCAAAAGAAAAAAGTGTAATTCATTTAAAAGTTGTAGGGTTTTTTTGACAATTGTTATATCACAAATATAAACACAATCCCACCACCAGTACGTCTAAAAACAGCCTGTAAAGCAATAAGAGAAAAGCAAGACAGAGCACACACTCAGAAATTCATGTAGGTAAATAGAAAAATAATGTATTACACCTGCTTAAATTAGCATATTAAATATATTTTTATTGTTCATCTAGTGTGTACAGAATACATGTATTCTAGAGGCTAAGCAATAGGATCTGATTTTGTGTCTCTAGAATGAATCATTTTTAGAAAAGGGGTTATTACTAATATATAAACCTATTCATTTGTTTCTGGTAATAATTGGGCTTTCCTTGGGAGGTGTTAATTAGCAGCCTAAAATCCACAAGCTGCCAAACTATAGAAAGAAACATAAGCAAAACTGTCATATAAACATTTTTTTAGGGTAGGAATGCACGCGCGCACACAGACGTCCACACATACATAGAAAGCCCAGAATACCAGTCCACCGAAATACTAAAAAGTAAAACTGTACTTTATATATGGAAATATCACACTGCATCATTATGCCTACAATAAAAAAAAACATTGCCAGCACATTGCTCCAATTCAGCCAAAATGGCAGATTAAAATACCCAGGAAGGATTATGCTGAAGGAATCTGTGTTGGTGGTCACATCCATCTCATAAGCTTGAATTCACAAGATTTTTACAGGCAGTTAAGCAAAGCAACTACCGCTAGACAAATCCCAGTGACTTTGTATATATATGGGGGAATATGCGTTGGAGACTGCTACTTTTTTTTCATATGAAAACTGGGTATAGCTTACTATTACATTGTTATTATTTCATACAGCTTTATGTACTATCTGAACCTAAGAGCGCTAGTTGAAGCAATATCTCGGTCAAGAACCTGAGGCATGCCAATCCACTTTAAAGTCTGAAGGTATCGAGCAAACTCTGCATCCATGCTATAGTTGTTTCTAGTGCTTTCCAAAAAAAATGAACAGCACTTCAAACAGTGACCAATAAACCTACAGCAAATCATGTAAACATACAACATAGAAGTCAAAAAGAGCTACAGCATTGACTTTGATTGCTCAAGTAACTTTGAAGGAAAATTCCTCTTTTACTGAAAATAGCTAAAAATGGCATTTTCAATGTACCTTCAAATATCTAAAATGCACAAAGCATGAGTTAAAATTTCAGGTATGCCTGATCTAAGTGTTTTTTTTTTTAGGGGTTATGTACATTCTCATATTCGCCACTCCAAAGCCAGCCATAGATGGATTAAAATGTGGCCAGTTCAGCAGGAAACCAGCTGAATTTCAATCCATCTATTGGCAGGCTTGTTCTACTGAAGTCAATCTAGCGATCAACTTCAGTACAACCAGTCTGTCTGTTTTTTTTTTTTGTATGATCACTGCCAGTCAGCTATAGCAGCAACAGCAATCATTGTATTCTGAGGGCAGTGAAACCCCCCGCTGTCAGAATACAAAAGTGCAATGATAGGGATTCTACCATTACCACTGACTGTGCTGATGGGGAATCTAGATAATTTATTCCTTCAACCCGTGGTTGAAAGAAAGAAAATTGCATAATGTATTGCCAGCCTTCTTATAGCATACACTAAAAGCATAACAGGACTGTTTTTATTATTTTACAAACAAAAGTTGTTTTATTTTAATTACAAACTTGAGATTGCTCATGTGATAGTATTGAAAAGGGACCCACTAAGATGTCTGTTCCAGAATGGTGTTTTAAGACCTATATAAATATCTCTAAAATAGAGGACACGCAATAAGGTTTGCTAAAATCCTTGTAGTTTCTATAAGATTACTTGGATAGGATTGCTTTCAATCAGAGTTCTTAGGCAGTTGTACTAGTGTTGTTAAAGATGTTCATTACATTTTAATATACAACTGTACTGTTGTTGTGGAATATTATATACTTTATAGGAGTTCCTATAATGCATAAATGTGCTTTTGTTTTTAGTAAGACATTTTTATGTAAAAAATGTAGTGTTTTTTGTGTAGATAGGGGTACATCTATGTATTTTTAGATATACAAAGTGACTTTCCTGCTTCGTAGTATTAACAAAATGACAGCTTTACCTATTCTTTGACCTTAAAAGGGTACAATACAAATTACTACTGTTTTACATGGTGATACAATGTTTGTACTGCCTTGTCCTTCCAAATTTTCTTCTTTCACAAATTTCAGCAAGCCTTATAACTTTGCTTATTTCTATTTCTCAAATTAAATGTGTTGGTAAAAGCAGGACAAAAAAATGAATAAGCTGGGTTGAAGGAAGGTGGTGGCAATGTTATTCTGGGGATTCTTCAGTCTAGTTTTGCAGTGTTGTCAGCTATGTGTACCTGATTTTCATTCATTTCTGTCAGTAATTTGTTGGCAAGGTCTTTCTCACTCTTGTCTGCCCCTCTAGTGTTAGCGTTTAACAAGAGCTGCAGGATGGAGACAAGAACATTGCAAAGAGGTGGATTATCAGTTAGCAGCAGCCAGGGGGAGAGAGGGACAGGTTTCAACAGGAACATGCACATTAACACCTATGGCACATTGCACATAATACATAGAAACAACATAAGGGTTTAAACATGGCACATAAACATGTTATAGAGATTAGTTCAGGCATCCACTGAACATAGCTCTATCCAAACATCAAAGTCACACTCTTTTTTAAGTCTGATCAACTGCCACCTGGATCTTTCTTTGCCCCATAGCACATGTAAACCAAGCGGCAGGACGGGGGAGACATCAGTGCCCTTATGTGGAAACATGCCCATATTTAGTCAATGACATTTGTATCATGTGTCTCACCTTTAATGTACAACAGGAAATATATTCATCCAACAATTCTTGGACAGTTATTACTGTCATTGAGATGAGCCATTAGTAAAAATTCTGTGCTGGGTCTCTCAGCTGCCATAGTTCAGGTTGCTCACAAAGTCAACTAAAGTGCAGCTGTCACAATTTTGGCACCTAACTTCTCAAATAAGATTAATGGAGAAATCAGATGGGGTAGCTGTAACACATGTATTTTATGTGACTTAACATGCAATTGGAAATGTAGCAGCTGAGAAGACCGAATGGGAATTTTACCAGCAGCTGGTCTCGCTTCAGGAACTACCATGGTAAGCCACAATACAGTGTGGTGCATGCAACCCAAATGTCATGCAAGACAGTGGTTTTTCAGTGTCAGGTGGAATTGTTTGTTAAAGTATATTTAGGGAAAGTGTGAAATCTTTTCCACTTTCAAAGGTTTACCTTTCAGAGATTTACAACCTGAAGCTCATTAACTTCACAGGAAACATGAAGTCTGAGATCTGAGCGCTTGGTTAGCCAAAGACACATAGATTTCTCCATCCCCGCTAAATAATACATTTTGTAAAGATTCACTTACATTATCCAATCATGAGAATCAAAAGAAAATCCATGTTTACTTATTTAATCTTTACAATTATTGTGTGAACAATCTGAAATCTTTTAGTATATCACTTTTAGAATTTCAGTTAAGCACTTGCATCCCCCCCCCCCCCCCCTCTACACATCTCATCTCACCACCGTGCTGGCAGCCCCTGTAGACCACATCTCACCACCAAGCCTGCACCCCTACACTCGCTGCTATTGCACCAATGCAAGCTTTGGTATGTAGCATGTTCAACAAATGAGCACACTTTTGCAAATCTGACATAAAACAAACCTTTGGTTGTCTAATATTTACAGTACATACAAGACTACAAAAAATGCATTTGCACACATTATGCCTGTCCTATTATATACAAGCCTTTAAAAGTAGCTCACATTTGTTGAGAAAAAAAAAAATATTCCCCTCTAGGTGATCAATGTACACTGAGGCTAGATTCACATGCATGCGGGTGCAGGACTGCGTGAAAAATCACACCACAGCAAAAACGCACTGTTGTTAGCAGACATAAGGAGGTGCTTTTAATTCTTAATGGCACAAACAACAAACTGGAAACCACAGCACGGTTTACCTTGCTGAGAAATGCATAGCACTATGTGGTTTCTCTGCAGCTGCAATTTTAGAAGAGGTGCAGGGAACATTTTCTTGCTTTTCCAGTAGGTTCAGCAGCCAATTCAAATGAATAAGCTGCTGTGCCCATACAAATGCAACCATGGGGAAACTGCAATAATGTAAACTTAGCCTTTGTAGCAGATTCCTACCTTTTGTTGCTCTAAAGAAATTGCTGTTTGTTTCACTGAACTGATTGCAGACTGATTTGAATTGGGGGGACTCATTCATTATAATCAGCTGGTGCACTCTCAGTGTTCTAATGAGAAAACCTGCAGGGCCAGCATCCCTGTAAAAGTATTTAACTCCAGGAATTTATGAATGAAGAAACTACAAGTCCCATCTGCCAATACAGCAGATGGCTGGTAGTTCTCAATGGACTGCAAGGGCGCTGATGAGATGCCCTCATAATTCATGGACATTTCCTCCATCTTTTCAACAGAGGTATGAGAAAGAAAGCTGCAGAGAATGTCTGCAGGAGTCTGACACTGCACCAACAATCTACTGATCGCTGGGGCAATTCTATTCAGGCTCCTATGAAAAAAATAATAGACATTTTTTTTCCTGCAAAAATATGTGCATTTATTTTTTTCCCAAAAAAGGAGAACTTGGCCTTCAAGTTAGATCTTTGATCTTGTCAAGCAGCCCAGCTAGGTCCTGGACCTCCCTGTAGACTACACTGCAGTCAAGCAATACAGCCTGGTCCAGGACTGTTAAAGTGCAGCAGTACACTGGCGATGAGATTCGTGTGTTCTCCCCTCTTGAAAGTATTATCCTCATAAACAATAAAATTCAAAATACTTTTTTTTTTATCATAGTTTGATTAAACTGTACTTTACAACAATTGCCCGGAGTTC